TGGATAGCGAGATAGTGATGCATAATTGTTGATGCCAATGAGCGGTATACGGGCATGATTTAAACAACCGACAATATAAACAAAGCAGAAATCAGTCGTGCGGATTATTTTTCGTCATCATCTGTCATGAAACATTGTCTCTTAAAATAGAATATGATACTATCTTTAACGTTATTATTGATTGTGAAAATATGTATTTGAATACAACAATACGATAATAAGTGTCAGAAGGTGTTCTGTGAGGATTTTTTGTCTGTCGCTTTTATTCAATGAGCATCTCACATGCTTATAAAGGTGTAAATGGGGAAACAAGCTATAACCAGTACTTCCTCGCTATAGTGCGTTTAAGTCAATACCAGTCACCAAACCAGATAGAACACATTTATTTTAAATAACCTATATAGACGTTAAGAAAAACTTGTTTGACACTATATTATTCAACGATGCATAGAATCAATACCGTAAGTTTGCGTTATAACGGGGAATTTGTTGGCGGGAAGTAGGTCGTGTTTCGTCAGCACACATTCAGAGAGAGCTGGCGCCATAAATAAACACACATCTAAACCATATTCATGACAACATGTTAAACAGTTTCAAGCAAAATGCTGTTCAACTTTTCAACATGGTATAAGCAGGTAGCTTTCATAAACTTGGGTACAACGTATGTCGGAAAACACAAAGGGCCTCGCATCGCTGTTAGCAATAGAGACCCGATAAGATCTGTACTTATCTTGCTTACACCAGTATAAGGTTGACGACACGCTGGGTGGAGATATAATAAGGAATGATCCGACTCAGTGTCAACTGTTTTTGTGTAAATACTGCTGAAAATAGCAATATTTGTTATTGGTCAGCTTACTGACCATGAGTTATCGGTGACAAGGAAAGTAGGCACTTCTGTTGTTGGTATATGTACGGACCTAAAAACAGATTGTTTAGGTCCGTGGCTTAAACACACACAATGCATATTTCGTTGTATATTTCGTTAACAACACATGCTTTAAGTTGTATATTTGAAATACATAAACATCTGCGTATTTCGGTTAAGAAGTTAAGGGGTGAGTAATGGCATATGAAAGTACATTTTTGTCTCCTTTTCTTTAGAAAACTAGAGTAGTTTGCATATGCAGACCCAGAGATGTGTTGTAGTGTGTGATAGATGCGATAGAAATACTATTAAAATACTAAACTATGGTGAAGACGAACAAGATGGTAGAGGAGGGGGTAGTAGAGGAAGAAGACGTACAGGAAGAAGATACTACATACACGGAGAAGTAAACATGAGAAGTATAGAATTTATAAGGAAGAGACGTAGAGGAAGGAGAAGAGGTGTAGGGAGATGTAGATGGATTAGTTTGGGTAAAGGAAGGAGGAGTATAGGAAGAATGAGGAGAAGAAGCAGAGGAACGAGGGGGAAATGAGGGGAGAAGCGACAGAGGGGATGTAGAGGAATGAGGGGAGAGGAGGTAAAGAAAGAAAGAGGGAGGAAGAATGAGAAATTGAGGGAGGATTAGTGTAGCCAGAATACGCACAGGGAGAAGATATTAGAGAAATTAGAGGAAGGAGAAGTAGCAGATGAAGGATGAGACGTAGAGGAGTGGGGAAAGAGGGACAAAAAGTACAGGAGAAGAGTGAAGAAGAAGAGGTGTTGGGAGGATAGTAGATAAAGAGTAGGGGTAGAGAGGGGGGTGAAAATGAGAAGACATTAGAGAGAGGGAGAGGAAGAATTAGAGGGGAGCAGGGGAAGGGGGAGAAGTAAAGGAAGAAAGATGGGATGAAGAAGTGTTATTGCTGTATGATGATGCATTTTTCATATTTGGAGTGAGTGAGTATAGTTTTATGCCGTTTTTAAGCATATTCCAGCAATATCACGGCGGGGGACACCAGAAATGGGCTTCACACATTGTACCCATGCGGATAATCGAACCCGCGTCTTCGGCGTGACGAGCCAACGCTTTAACCACAAGGCTACCTCACCGCCCTTCATATCTTGAATGCTTATTATTAAGTGATACGTTATGTTAACGCTTGTGTGGCCAGTGTTCAGTATCACAGAATATTTGTTTTAATGATGTCCAGGGAGTTATATGTCAATATATCCTGTGGGAGTATTTCAGGATAGACATACATCATGATCATAATATTTTATTCATCACGCGATGTAGGCTACAGACCCGTTCTGCATTACAGAGTGTACAGTGAAAGAATTTTAATGTACAATGTTTCTGTAATGTACACAGGGCGTAAAGATAGCTAACTTTTAAACAGTAGATAATCAGCTGAGGCCATCGGTACATGGAACTCATAGCTTATATAAAACATATCTAAGGGTAACAAATGCAATTTATGTGCAATGAACTTAACATCTCACTTGGTGAAAGATACTTCAAATTATAAAAATTAACCATGATGCTTATTTTTTTATATTTTTTATTCAAAACGTTTATTTTAAAACTTCAAAAATCCTAGTACGAAATTTCTTTACAGTTTTATGGTTACTATAGTGACTTAGGCGGTTATAAAAAAAAATTCAAACTGTGAACAAATTTATAGCTGTCTGCGTTTATTTTGTGTGTGGGTTGATACTGGTGGGTTGAAGCCTATTCTGATGAGAAAGGGTCAATTAGTTTTGATCTTATTGTAAACCTTTTTTTCGAGACTTCCTTCAACACGACACGTGAAGACATAACATCGATTTTAGGTGTCGCTATCTGAATCACGCTGTGCCGAGTTTCATGAAAAAAAAAAAGAATCAACCCGAATAAGTCACGGATCACGCTTGCTGTAAATTACACGATATATCTGAGAATGAAAAGTTATCAAAGGAGTACACTGCACAGATATAACTGCTGTCATATTGCGGATATATCGAGTCATTGTTTGGTGCAGGACAACAAGCATGTAAACAAAGCCCAATAAAACTTACGGAATCAAAATGTCGACCATATGTAAACATGGCGATCGCTGGATGCATGCTCCTATTCCTTGTGGAACTCAGGGGCTTCGGTGCGTTATTTACGCTATGGGTAATGTTAATATCGAACCAATAAAATGTTCTGACCTTGTATTGTTTGAAATCATTGGGGATTTAATGTATAATGCTGAAGACGAATAGAATTTCCGCTTGTAAGGGAGGTAATCGCAATGTACGTAATGAATATTGATAACAGCTGCAGCTCAAGTAATCGCACACCTACTTCCAACACCGTGCGCTAGCAGACAAAGTAATTTATCGTCGTGAAATTGCAGTTGTTATGCAGTGTCAGCAATCTTACATAAACAATATACATGAAAGAAACATAGGTCCTCATGGAAATATTAACGTTATCATAAAAATATATTTTGATTAATTTTACAGTAGCTTCGTACATGAAAGTTCTGATTTGAACACGATAGCGCACAGATTAGCATAACCGAATTTATTCAGTATATCACACCAATAACGTATATAAGATTTATGCCTTTGATTACACGAAACTGAATATTTTCCGGAGTTGTATGAGGAATGAACTGTTTATTTGTAACTCCTCGTTAGCTGTAGCCATTGAGCCAATATATACATTTCATGGAAAATCTTAACTTATCAGTAATAATTTATTATATCAACATTACATTATTCATTGATAACTCTTGAACCTCTGACACAATTCTATCTATATCAATTCTATCTATGTCTTTATCTATAGCCCTCTTGTTATGTGTAACATTATTCTGGCCCAGCTATTAATTCCATTTGCTGAATATGAATATCAATGACCTACTATATTCAATTTGTAACTGTCAGGCTAAATTTAACTGGTTTAGAATGTACACACCAGTCTTCTTACGAGGATTCCGTTCTATTAGATGGCAGACAACATTCGGTTCTTCTTTATTCCCAAAACACGATAAAACGTTTAAATTTCAGTACCGACATAATCGTCAGTCCATGTAACTGTGCCATTTTCAGAACATTAAAGCAATATTGTTTGGATATTTCGTTGATCAGCAAACATATGTTACACTTGTCAACTGCATAAAAGGTAAAAAACTTAACAAGAAATAACGAGGGGAAGAATACATTCTTTTTTATAGGACATAACACAGGGACTGAAACAAAAGACTCCAACTACGTGGTGTCAGAATCGGGATAAATCGTTTATGCGTCATGTACAGAAATACCCTGAATGTATTCTATACATATGGAGCAAAACGTATTTATAGATGCGAGTTGCTGGAATATTTGTTGCAAAGGAGTCCGTGTTATTAAAGGTAGTTACCACACTTTGCTTCTATAATTGTCACAAAATAATTCACACTTCTGGAGAAAATAAAAGCACAGCTTTAAAAGAGAATAATAAAACAGTGGAAATTCATGCTGATAAAGCGAATTTAGACACTCAAGCACAATTAAAACCGCACCAGATACAATTGAACAAAATCCAGTTCAAATAAATAAAACCAAAAAAATCCGAAACAACAACCCAATAACACGTACAAAAAAAATAATATACAAACACATGCATGTATTGTATTCTGATTTGTCAGTGTAACAAAGGTAATTGCGGTTCACAGCCGAGCTGGAAAAATAGCAGTATGCTTTATATTGTGCTGTGCATGGGTGAACTAGTTTTATTCATCAGATACATGACATTTGTACCCTGGGCATTTTCCAGGGTTAGAGGTATACGTCAAAATACTTTCTTTTGATGACTGCAGCCATTTCTCCCTACCAGCAACAAATTTGGAGTTACTTCCCTTGAACCAGGTGTCCTCTATGTCGGAGGAATATTTCAATCGATTCGGTGAAAAATCCTAAACACAGATGAAAATGGACCCATATATGCAAAGTGTCGATGGTATAACATGATTAACACGTTTTGTGAAGTATCAATATCATTAAACGGCTAATCACACCATGGATCTGTCATTATACACCCACAACAATATGAACACTTTTCGTCAGGGAACTACTTTGCCTCGCGGAAGGTAACGCGTCTGCACAGCTATAAAAGCACTAAGCATTCTTCAACATTATCAGTCAGCAAGCCGCTGGCAGTGAGGTTTGTCAGTTTAGAATGCTACAGTTGCCAACTTCATTTTACCGTATTGTATTTGTCAAAATAGTTTTCGAAGTCGATTCAAGTGCGTATGATGGAAGTGGAATTTTCAACGGTTGATGTTGAATCTAAGAAGATTCGTTGCGAAAATTCTACTGTTGTCACGATGTCGAAAGACGATGAAGATGTGCTGAGCGGTACATCGGATGGCGATGTTGAAAATAAACAGCCAGAGGGAGGGAGCGAATCTGACAACCAACAAAACTCGTTAGGTCAGAGGAAGAAACCGAGGAGAAGGGGGAGGCATAAAGGCGGTAGACATCATCGGAAGTGGAAACCTTATAACAAGCTGACATGGTCTGAACGAAAAGAATTAGAAGAGCGCGAGACCATTCGGGCGACGATGAAACGCGAAGAAGCGTTCGCGTCAGGACATCCCGTTGCTCCGTACAACACCACACAGTTCCTTATTGACGATCATATCCAAAGTGAAGTGTCCCTTGATTTGACTGGAAAAGAAAATGATGTCAATTGCGTTGGATCTGGTCGGAATGGAAAGGATGGTTCTTTTGGTAGTGGTGAAAGTTCCGAGGAGATGTGTGGCAGTGGTGACGAAGATGACATGTTCCTTGCTAAAGAATTCTCAGAGACTTATGACAACATACACGCCGAACGATTGCAGATGATGTCAAAAGAAGAACTTATCAAGGACTATCTTGACATGGAGAGGAAAGTTGAGAGGTTAGAACGTTTAGCTAAAGACATTGATCAACATAACCCAAAAGGCGTCACTCGAGATGGGTCGACAGGGGATAGGGACAGTTCTGATGGCCAGTCACTGAGCAGCAGTGGAGAAGAGCCAATCGATGTCGTCAGTGTCAAAAAGATAGAAGAAGAAATAAAGAACCTGAAAGATGAGAACAACCATCTGAAAGCTGAAATTGGAAGACTGAAGAAGATATAAGCCTACTAAGTAGGGATGTGTTCTGTGTTTGGTCAGTTATGTTTACATCAGTCATGAAATCTACACCACTGGCATTGAACAGGTGACCGAATTCAGCACCTTGGGACTGGCTCATTATTACCAGAGGGGTAGCAGGTAGTAATTGCCAAACCATGCCTGTCAACGGTAAACTTTATTGTTGCATTTACCAGTCCCTCATACCATCAGGTTTATTTTGTATAACATAATATGTGTATAATTTACTTGTTTGATAAGTCCTTACAAACTACTGCCAGTTGTAGTTTTGTCCTTAAAGAGACATATTCGAACTGTTGTTAAACTGACCAAAGCTCCGATTGTGTGCTCTTGCGTTCATGTCAAATGGGCCGAAAATGCAGACTCTCCGATACAGAATGTACAAGTGTTCTATACGATTGACACTGAATGCGAGATTGCGTCCGACGTGATGTATATGAACCGTTCTTCTTGTCCGATGACTATTGATTGACATCTCGAATTTGCGAAGCAGTGAAACGGTTGTCAGATATAAGCTTTTAACCTGTTAAGTAACGAAAAGGGAAAGAAGTGATTGTGCAAATGTGCAGCAAATGTAATTAAAACATTGTATCAGCATGTCTTGCTTCATGCGCTTTGTGCGCCCATTTAAAATTCATTTCATAATGATCATCCATATTAGGGCATTTTTTCAAGAATTTCTAGAATAAAATGATTAACAGCGGTCTCTATTTGTTGAAATGATATATTCATATTTTTATACAATTTTTATTTCAACGTTTGTGGATCATTTTGCCACAGTCTTTCCTTTTTCTACAAAATTTGGAGAAAAAAAATACAAAAAAATGTTTTATCTTGTGAAGCCCAGTGCTTATTCCTGTTTTAAGACAAAATGTTATGACGAATAAAATCATTGAAATACCGAATAACAAAGACGTTTGTGATTTTCACAACTGTCCGACAACAAATTTTATTTGTGAAGTGTTCGGAATGGTCAACATGTTATTCAACAGTATAAGGAAAAGATCAGCATAATTAAATAATGTCTTTTCCATTATTTCAAATAAGTTCGTTCTGAATGTTGTGAATTTGCAGGCCATGTTCGAACACTAGTTAAGAATATATCCTATAATCACTGTGTTGTCATCAAGTAATTATTGTGTGTAAATAGTATGTTATTTATCAGCAAGCACACCATATTACTGCTTGTCTATGATACCGAAATGTACTGGTTCCAGAGATCGTGCCTCGATGAAGGTCGCTCACCGTGGTGAAGGTCGCTCACTGTTTTAGGTCATAGTGTACATCTAACCGAAGATGTTAAAACATTTTATAGTTGATCCAAGTTTGCGTTTCTTAAATGCAATAGATTGCATTATCTTCGTCTGAATATTAGATAATTGGTTGTCTGTTTGGGAAAGAAACAAGTACGAACAGAATAAATTACTCCAATAAATTGTAAGTTATTGTAATTATTCATGATTAAATTGGGGAATGTTTCATGATATTGTAATGACTAGTCCCAGATGGAGATTTCAGTTAGAAATGGCCCTAATAGAATTATGTTCATTTGGAGTGACTTAAAATAGAATGGTTTGTTGCTGAAACCATTAGATTGTCTATATTTGCTTTTTAACAGGCAGTCATTGTATTACTGTAATGTTGAATGAAGTGTCAAATGACATTCAATTATAACATATTATATTTGGGATTACACTTTCTTAGTAAAGTACAGATTCTAGTACTTTCGTACAACCGGGATTCAAACCCACACCCTCAGAGTCAGGCACCTAATCACCAGCACACAAAGTCAGCCGCCTAACCCACTCAGCCACCGCAGCTTCCACACAAAAATGAAAGTCGGACAACTGGTAGTCTAGGCTGCAGACTTTGTGTACCCCTCTGATAAGGGTAAATTGGCATGGCTCCCACAGCCGAAAGCTATGAATGGGAATTTCTAAATGGCATTGTGTATTCATAGACATTCAACTAGTGATTCTGATGTTTGTTTCAAATAAAGCCACTTTGATATTAGTCCCAATTTTGAAACAGCTGATCTAGTAAGCCATACATACTGACAAGAAGTTGGTATGCCAAGGTTTCACTTTGATGAAATAGGTGCATGATTTGTCGTCTGTTTCTGCAGCTAACCTTGACTTGACCTTCAAAGATTTTAGGCATGTTTTGTTTGACCTTTACATGTGAAGGTTATCCTGTGATGTGAGCATTCATTTGTTTCTCCTTATGGTCTGTCTTGTAAGATTTTGCTCTAAAGTGGGCGCTCGTCTGTTTTGAAGAGGTCATGTAACATGCGGCGAGACTAAACAATAATTGGGTTCTCTAAATTGGTTAACATTTTTGGCTTTGAATGTAAGTGAACTCTTTTGAATTCCTTTGAGATGTTTTGGGGTGAAGTGGTTCTGGAAATAGATGTCAGGGTTGGACTAAACCTTGCATAATCAACTACTAAGTGTTTATAGTTATGTTTGTTAATGCACAAAAAATAAAGAAAAAAAATGTAGCTGTTAATTTTTTTTTGCAAAATGCATTTGCAAATTTCACATCTTTAAAGGTTGACTAGTATGTTAGGAACATAAATTTCCTTGAGTCTTCTAGATAAATTCAATCCTGACTTGGAACGAGCTTGTAGTGCTTATGACATGTAACAGACAAAACCAGCCTTGTGAAAAATATTGTTAATGCAAAACAAATGTTCCAAAATTGTGTTTGATTATGAGAAAACATGATTGATTGCTTGGTTGTTTAGTCATTGAGACCAATCTTCGATTATTTCAATTAATCGGACCACCACTAGTGTATACCCCTGTATATTGAACCATAGTCTGTCATTCAGACCCTGAAACAGATATACCCAATACACCCCATGCAAGTCTAGAATATGGGGCAAATCCAGATTAATGCAGTTTTATTAAAGAAAGACAGAAGACTTCTTTTATGTTATTTTATGAAGAGAATTTAGGAGCCATTTTTCTGTAAAATATGGTTATATAAGAGTTGTTAGTCCAGTAAAAGCATAATTAAGGTTCAAAGGCTCATCCCCCGAATGTTTAATGTAAGTTAATTTGTTTTAACTCACTAGTCCCAAATCTCAGACATGTTCAAAGTTAGACAGGGAGACAGATGGATCACATTAAATTTATTTTAATAATAAATGGACTGAAAATTTCCAACTATAGTCCTTTCATTTACATGGAAGGTAAACATCTAGAATGAAATTACCAAATGGCTTTGGGGTTTTTTATGGGAAAATTTAGGCAAAGTGTACCCGTTAGTTGAGTATGATGAATGACAGATGGACTTCTAACTAGGCAAGCTTCCTCACCCTTTTTCAAGTAACTTGGCGGGTGGTAGGGTAGCCTAGTGGTTAAAGCGTCCGCTCATCATGCCGAAAACCCGGGTTCGATTCCCCACAGTAAAATTGCTGGAATATTGCTAAAAGCGGTGTATAAATATACTCACCCAGGTAACTTGACCAACTTCACATTTCACATGGGACTGGTGCTAATTATCACTCCTGTATAATGCTACCTGCATACGAAATTTTTACTTACACTTTTTCCAGGATAGGTTTTTGGTCATACAGTATGTCTCAAAAGTTGAATGACTTTGAAGTAAAGTCTGGTAGGATTAAAGACTGGGAGTCTATTCCCTCTACAGGAAACCATTGAAAATTATCATTACTTTCTGTACTTCCTGGTATTGTAGCTGTTGTTTCATGTTTAGAGGAAGCAACTGACCATTTGTTGCCAAGGAGAGATAATTTTGTGAATGGCACAGAGCATTGTCGATTTTCTGGATCTCGTTTTGTGTTATTTAGCTGAAGAAATGTCACTCATTACCGGGACGAGGTGTGATAAGAACCATTTATGGTCTGCAGGATATGCATCATTTACGAAATGAGTACAGCTATTACAATTCATGAAAGTTTTCAGATCGGTACATATGAATGAGATTTAAGCTTCGGTCATATTAGCAGTAAACTGGGGCTCCTCTTAAAATAACAAGCATGGCAAAACTGCATCCAAAAGGCTGATTTCTAAGGTTTTCTATTTGTGTGATGTTTAACAAAGGTCGAGGTCATCTTTTAGGTTGTTGTGACATATAACATATTGTTAGCACCAGTTACTACTTTAGGACAGCAGTATGTTGAAGTTTGGGCAGCTAAGAATTGGGTTCGAAGGGGTGTTTTTGGATTAGAATGCATGGAAGTACCATAACTACTATATGCTTTGAAGAAATGAGGATGAAAGTGTTCCCTGTGTGTCAAACCTTAGAACTTCAGAAAAGTGATGATACAGCAAAAAGTCGTACTGATGATACAGTAGAACTGATTACTGATGACACTGTGATTACTACTGATAATACAGTAAACTGAATATTGATGACACAGTGAAACTGATTACTGATGACAGTGAAAATGTTACTTATGATAAAGTGAAACTGATGACAGTGAAACTGATTACCGATACAGTGAAACCGATTACTGATAAAGTGAAAATGATGACTGATAAAGTGAAAATGATGACTGATAAAGTGAAAATGATTAGTGATGAGTGATGAGTGAAACTGATAGTGAAACCGATTACTGATGACAGTGAAACTGATTACTGATACAGTGAACTGATTACTGATACAGTGAACTGATTACTGATACAGTGATACTTATTATAAAGTGAAACCTATTATTGGTAATGTCAGTGAAACTGATAGCTGATGATACATTGAAAATGCTGCTTATTATATAGTGAAACTGATTATTGAGGACAGTGAAACTGACTGATAAAGTGAAGCTGATTACTGATACAGTGAAATGGATTAGTGATAAAGTGAAACTGATGACAGTGAAACTGATTACTGATACAGTGAAACTGATGACGGTGAAACCGATTACTGATGACAGTGAAACTGATTACTGATACAGTGAAACTTGCTTATTATAAAGTGAAACCTATTATTGGTAATGTCAGTGAAACTGATAGCTGATGATACATTGAAACTGTTGCTTATTATATAGTGAAACTGATTACTGAGGACAGTGGAACTGATTATTGATTTGGTGAAACTAATGATTGCTGACACCACAAAACTACTTTGATACATTACTGGTGATAGTGTTCCTCTGTTGACCGAACAACAGGTTAACCCAGAAATTTAAATATGTTACATTTAACCATGATGCAAATGGCACAATGCATTCACAGAAGTGTGTATAAGTTAACAGATGTATCGTAAATTGACTAGGTGGACAGATCAATAACAATTACTGCCAAGTAATCACAGTACACAGCAGGGTTACAGTACAATTATTACAGCAGTATGAAACACAACAGCAGGGGCAATAGCTCTATAGTTGGTGCAAATACTATTTAGCAAGCATCAACAGTGGTCAAATAGGCTTGTGATGGATATTCAGGTTGAAAAAATGATCTTTACAGGAGGGGTGGTTTGGATGTTATGTGAGATTACTAGTTCTTACCAACAAAATGCCTCATCAGAGTTACTTACCATTTAGTACATCCCAGCATCAGGCAAAGATGCAGCAATCCACATGTCTGTCCATCCATCTCCCTGATTTCAAACTGACTAGAAGATGGTGGGGTAGCCTAGTGGATAAAGTGTTCGCTCATCACACTGAAGGCATGGGTTTGATTCCCCACATGGCTACAATGTGTGAAGCCCATTTCTGGTGTCCTTGCCATGATGTAATATTGCAAAAAGCGGCGTAAAACCATACTCACTCACTCACCCTGACATGGCCTAATAAAGGTACACATCCAAACTGAAGTACAGTAATGGCCAAACCAAAAGTACACTGATAGTCACAAGTGAGTTCCCACCATGTCGAATGATCAGGAATAAGCACTGGTTTCCATGAATTGTTATATGTACAGCCAAATATTTCCTTGTTACCACTTTGTTACTGTTTACATTTTCAATAAAATGGCATATGTTTTTGTGTGTTCTGTTTTCTTTATTCATCAGACTGTACACATCTGTACATGGTAGGCTTCTGTACATGGTGCGAACATCTGGGTTAGAATTGGTCTTCAGCAACCCATGCCTGTTGTAAGAGGATTGGGTGGTCAGGTTCACTGACTTGGTTACCGCATCCCAGTTGTGTAGATCGATGCTCATGCTTTTGATCACAGGATTGTCTGGTCCAGATTCGATTGTTTACAGACTGCCGCCATATAGCTGGAAGTGCGACGTTTAATGCCAAACAAACGCATGAACAGTGTATAACGCAGGAACGTTCATTGAGGTATTTCTCAGTGGTATGGTGTTGAGGGAAGCCCTAACAAACAATTAATGGCTATGTTTTAGGTTTGATAAGTTTTGAAGATAGTTTGTTGTTCTTTTTTTACCCTTTCTTGATACCGTAATGATTAGACATGGACATCATTTTGAAAATGTCAAGCTTGGCCTGTTCAGCATCTATCATCGGATAAATTGTATTTTAATGAACATTTTGTCAGGATGTCATGTTTTGTGTAAATGTAAACATTTTTAGCCTATCCCTCACAGTTGTATGACCTTTCTGATCCTACATAGATTCCCACCTCCAAAAGAACTCCTTTGTACTCCCTCCACAGTCAGTGCCAAAAGGTTTGAGACTAATTTCCAAAACACAGACATGTTCAAGTTAGGGGGGGGGTTGGTCACAATGGTGAGGTTAAAGCGTCCGCTCGTTATTCTGAAGACCCATACGCACTCAATTTAGGGTGATTATTGTTAGTTGACAATGGTTGATATTAATGTCATTTTAAATATTTTCACGTTTTGTCAGCCACCACAACGGGGAACTATGTATTTAGCAGCATCAGTCCGTACCTACGTATGTCCCAATTCTTGTTAATGCGATATCTCATGAACTATTGTACCCAATGTCTTCAAATTTGGTGATAGGCTACATTAGGGGATGATGCACACCAGTCGATATGAGTGACCTTGACCTTATTTTTCAAGGTCACTACAACACTTTGACCACTTTTCAAACTCTTGGTAACAAAATCTCGTAAAACGTTGCACCCAAATTAAGCATCTGAGCTGAAGAATATAATGCCATTTCTTACATTTTGATGTCAGGAATTAACATAATGGGTATCAGCGTAGGGTAGGGTAAAAGGGGGACTCTACCAGGGTTGAAAATTTGGACCCGTCCCAGCCCTAATCTCTCTTTCTCTCTCTGTTACGTTGTCGTTTTCGATCAGCATAATTTATAATTCTGTCCCAGCATCCCACTGGGTTGCACATTTTTTAACTTCCATGTCTTCAGTGAAGGTCTATATCAGATAGAATAGTAATGGCTCAGATACACTCATCTGGAATACGTAAAGGGAATGTTCCCGTTAATGTACGTCTAAGAATATCTAGTTAACATGATGCATGCACTTCCAGACCTGTATGAATTAAACATACAATCATTTTGGCAGACTGCGTTGTGAATAAATGTGTGCCCAAATTACCTTTTTGACATTTGTTTCTTTCAGGAACCAAAAAGATTAGTCTTCACTGAAAAATAATAGATTGATAATCTATAATGAAAAATCCTACCCGTTTTAAGCCATACATGCATTAATATGAATAAACTATTCACATCCATGGCATAAAATCCATAAATGATTAAGAAGACTTATTCTTGAAAGTGTAATATTTTATATTAATCATAAGAGCAACATTAATCTTGATCCGTTCAGTTAAGGGTGTTTGAGAACCTTGTGATGGAAGCACTTAACCAACCTGGGTTATCGAGAGTGTGTAGGTGGCTTGCTATATATATATACATGAAAAGTAATATTAAAATGTCAACTGTTGGCAAGAAGCTGTTAATGAGAACATGACGACAAATCTTGTCATTTTTCTTAAAATGAGTTTTTGGTGCTGTTTTCAGTACACTGTGTTGTGAGAATGTGGAATTCTTTTTCAGTTTGCATTACTGATCATAATTTATTTTTATGTGTGAGTCTGGTTTTACGCAGCTTTTAGCAATATTCCAGCAATATCATGGTGGGGGATACCAGAAATGGGCTTCACATGTTGTACCCATGTAGGGAATCGAACCTTTGCATTCAGCATGACAAGCAGACGCTTTAACCACTATCACCCAATCACCCCTCTCCTTAGATGTAAGTGTAGATGCCAGGATTAATGTTATGAGCAGAACTTCCTATATCTGCTTCCACTTCTGTGAAATTAATATATTGTGAGCCATAATATCTATACAATACTGATAATAATGGACATCTGGTGGTGTGTGGTCTTGTACATTGAGCTCAGGTCACAAATCAGGTGAATTTAAGCAACGTTGGTCACAGAGATTCCTTGGATGGGTGACCGTGTTTGGCATATGACTCCTGAGAGTTTCTAGGACTTAGTCCTGCCCCACAACGAAGCACATGTGGTCTCATCTCAGGCAAGTGAGTTTGTTCAAAATTGCCTCTGCAGAAAATGGGTACCTGGTGGGATAACTCATATGATTTAACCTTCTAGCGCCTCACAGGCAGCTTGGGTTATCCAGGGTATTAATGTCCATCATGTTGCATGCGTTTAGAGCATGTCCCTGCGGTGTGGAGTTCAGTGTTGCATAAATGGCCTTATTAATTAATTAATCTGACTGTTGGTTTATGGGGAGTGAGTGAGTTTAGTTTTACGCCGCACTCAGCAATATTCCAGCTATATGGCGGCGGTCTGTTGTTGATCACTGGAGGATATGGGCTCTTCTCCCACATCACTGATATCCAAACATAGAACTGAAATATAAACCCCTTTCACTCATGGTCTTCAACAACCTGTGCTTGTTGACAAGCATGTATTGGATAGTCAGACTTGCAGAGTTGATGTGTGTCATTGTATCCCATTTGATGCTCATGATGTCAATCACTGGATCATCTGGTTCTGCCACATTAGTTATAGGCCATTTTGCTGAGTGCTGCATTAAAAAAGCTGATTGAACTGCTGAATGCAGATTGAAATCCTTCTTTTAGAAGATGTTTATATTAAATTTTGGACTCCCATCATCTGGATCCATCCTCACTCGCTGTAAATGTGCGAGGGCATGGGTGGGCCTGTTGTCTAAGACTGCGATTCACTTAGGTGTACCCCACAGTTGTTTCAGAGTCTTGATATCATTGGTTGAATTCCAGATCAATTTGACTGACTGAGTTTGGTTTTACGCCGCTTTTAGCAATATTCCAGCTACATTACGGCGGGGGAACACCAGAAATGGGCTTCACACATTGTACCCATGTGGGGATTCGAACCCAGTCTTGGGGCGGTGGGGTAGCCTAGTGGTTAAAGCGTTGGCTCATCACGCCGAAGACCCGGGTTCGATTCCCCACATGGGTACAATGTGTGAAGCCCATTTCTGGTGTCCCCCGCCGTGATGTTGCTGAAATATTGCTAAAAGCGGCGTAAAACCAAACTCAGTCAGTCAGTCAGTCGAACCCAGTCTTCGGCGTGACGAGCCAACGCTTTAACCACTAGGCTACCCCACCGCCCCAGATCAATTTGAGTCTTAGCCTGCACTGAACCCATGCTCATAAATTCCATTAAAGTAAACTGAAACCTGATATGCAGTAATAAGATTGAAATACTGTTTAAATTACACTCGCCAAAAATATCGCTTTGTGGACTGGGATAGCCTAGTTGTTACGGCAATTGCTCATCATGCCAAAGGGCTGTTTTCGATTAGAAGATCTGGTTTAAGAATTGGTCCTCAGTAACCCATGCTTGTAAGAGGCGACGAACGGGATCGGGTGGTCAGGCTCGCTGACTTGGTTGACACAGCATCGTACTCCAATTGCCTAGATCGATGCTCATGATGTTGATCACAGGATTGTCTGGTTGAGACTCGATTATTTACAGACTGCCACCTTATACATGTAGCTGGAATATTGCCGAGTGAGGCGTAAACAACAATTGAGCCAACCATGATGTATGTATACAATGTGTGAAGCCCATCTGTGGTGTTATCCGACATGAAGTTGCTGGAATATTGCTGAAAGCGACCTAAAACTTAACTTAATATTATGTGCATTATGGATGTTTTCATCCACGTGGGACGTTGGTGTATTGCATAGAGGGCCTGCCTAGAGCAGACTGTTAGTGTCTCGATCCCTGTCTACATTCGAACCAATAGATGTTAAATGATAGTACTTGCTGTCACCTTGCCTTGTGTTTGGGATTAAATTGATAATGCTGTGATATACAGTACAACCAGAAATTATTGAGAATTGAAAGATTGTAATTTTTTTTTTTTCACTCATTACTCACGTATTAAATGTAAATATTGGCAGAACATAACTCCAGATTCAAAGACAGGTGAACAGTTAGTATTTTAGTTAGTATAAAATCAGACTAGTACAAGCTACGACATGCACATCATGAGTGTTGGGTCAGGGGGTAGCCCAGTGGTTAAAGCATTTGCTTATCAAACCAAAGGCCAGGGTTCTATTCCCCACATGGGTACAATGTGTGAAGCCCATTTCTGGTGTCTGATAATGCTTGAATATTGCTAAAAGTGGTGTACAACCCAGCTCTCCCACATATTTAACTCAAACATGAGCATTGCTGTATATAGTAGATTGATCAAATGGGACTGTAAATTTTTGTGAAATAATATTGAACATCATGTTTCATCTCGCCTCGCCTCAATCACCACACTTCACCTCACCCACAACACCCCACCCGACCAGCCCCGCCTCACCTCACCTCACCTCACCTTATCTTACCTTATCTCCATGAGTGCAGATGCACTGCAGCAACACATTGGACCCAACTGTCATTAACACACAATTCCATTCCTGTTTCTCACACCCAGGACTCTTGACTATGTCTTGAGCATGTAACGTGGTTAAACACTTTTTGCCTGTAACAGTAAACTGACTTACACTAAGAAGAGGGTATGCTGTAAACGAGGAATTCCAGTCCTCCAAATGAAAATACTGCCCTGATTGGCCTTGCTGGGTACATTCCTGCTGACACAAAACATGATTGGTTGTTCAAGTATGCACCGATGTTATTCTGCTATGGCAAATGATGATGTTTTTAGGGTGATGCGTTGCTAAATGAGTAGCAACTTGGCGTTTGTGTGTGTGGGTCATGGAGTAGCCAGTATGTCACTGTATGTAAGAATGTAGAATTCATTAGCCATACCCACTCGACGCCTTCATTCCAATGTCCTGAGGCGATTCAGGGAAAACATGTCCGTGGAGACTTGCAGTGAAGATGTTGATCTAGTGGTCCACAGTAGTGATATGACTACTTGCCACTGTTCGTGATGTGTTCACTGTAATATATGACTGCCTGGCATAGTCCTTACCAAAATACGTTGCAAAATACATTCTTCAGATCTTGAAGGCTCTTTTAACAATATAACTCTTTCAATTTGCCAATGACAATGAACTCTCCCAGGGAACATTTAGGTGCACCTCGCTGATACCCCATTACATGAAGATAATCATGGCATGGTACCTCACTGTATGAAGATAGGCATGACATGGTACCTCACTGTATGAAGATAGGCATGACATGGTACCTCACTGTATGAAGATAGGCATGGTGTGGTACCTCACTGTATGAAGATAGGCATGACATGGTACCTCACTGTATGAAGATAGGCATGGTACCTCACTGCATGAAAATAGGCATGGCATGGTACCTCACTATATATATATATGAAGATAGGCATGGCATGGTACCTCACTGCATGAAGATAGGCATGGTACCTCACTGTATGAAGATAGGCATGGTACCTCACTGCATGAAGATAGGCATGGCATGGTACCTCACTGCATGAAGATAATCATGGCATGGTACCTCACTGTATGAAGATAGGCATGGCATTATACCTCACTGGATGAAGATAGGCATGGCATGGTACCTCACTGCATGAAGATAGGCATGGCATGGTACCTCACTGCATGAAGATAGGCATGGCATGGTACCTCACTGCATGAAGATAATCATGGCATGGTACCTCACTATATGAAGATAATCATGATATGGTACCTCACTATATGAAGATAGGCATGGTACCTCACTGCATGAAGATAGGCATGGCATGGTACCTCACTATATATATATATGAAGATAGGCATGACATGGTACCTCACTGCATGAAAATAATCATGGTCGCGGTATCTCACTATATAAAGATAGGCATGGCATGGTACCTCACTGCATCAAGATAGGCATGACATGGCATGGTGAATATAGATGTTTCAATGTCAACTTGAAGTGATTATGTTTTATTATTTCTTGATTCATCACATGTCATTACTCATATCTTGCAGATGAAGTAGTACAAAGCATCACAGTATCCTTATCAAAAGTTGGGTAGTATATACATGCATACAGGAATGTGTATACACCTGCAGCATTTGACCATTCTCCTAATCACTAATGAGTGAGTTTCCAGCAATATCACGGCAAAACACCGTAATAGGGCTTCCCGCATTGTACCCATGTTGGGAATCAAACCAGGGTACGTCTTCTCCGTGACAAGCACTTAACCACTTGGCTACCCCACCACCCCATCTCACTTGTGAGTATATTTTGCAATAATGTAAGTAATAGGCAGATCGAAATATCCATATTCCATCACAAAAGATCAAATGTATGTATACCAGTATGTGTAGTTTATAGCAAAGACAATGATATTAACAGCTGTCAACAGCTGTCATGAGAATATTCCGACAGCACGAGCATTTCTCATCTCCAATCATTCTACATAACCCTGTATATATTATGTTGTAGTGATTGGAACTCTGTATTTACCATTGTGAAAAAAAATCAATAATAGACCCTCTTTTTAATCCGCAGACAAATGTTTTGTTCCATTTTCTCTCTCAGTAAACATGAACTGTTTCTGCACTTGTTCTTGCAACCACCTTCCCTCTTCCCATCTTGCCTGCTCTCTCTGCAGCGCAATCCCCCTTACATGCTGAATCCCCGTTCTTTCATGTCTGATTCCAAGGCCCTACCCCCTTTCTCTGTCGCAATAGTTCCCTCCATTGACCAACATACCACCTGCTTTCTCCAACCACAGGTCATGTCCCCACAGCAGTTACCTCCCTTTATCCCTTGAAAATTGTAATAGTTAATAACGAACGTCCTGACTTACTCAAGTTACAAATGTGCTCACACAATTTATTCATGCTCCAACCCAGTTATGCCCCTTGGTAATGGGAATTTTACCTGAAAATATTTCATTATTAGTACGATATACTAATTGAATGACACAGCTTTTGTAAAAGTGACATTTGTAATCATTAATCACACAGTCTTTAATTGACTCAGTTCATATAAATGAGAACAGTGTGCCAGATCGTATTTTATCAAACTTGTGATGACATATGTTAGACAAAATTTTAAACCAGTGAAACACCATTGTGACGTATTCAGTGAAGTTTGAAGCCAACAGTACATACATAATGAGGCTATGAGAAATATATGGTAAATAAAATGTTATTCTAAAATAAAACAGTTCGAGACTCCAACATAAACAATAACAACGACAGTTTGTCGTAAATTATTCAGGTTTTTCTCCAGGCACTGCTTAGGGCAGAATGTCTAAAGGCAGGTTTTCATCATGGAAGAGTCTACTATATGATGCAGGTAGAGCAGGTTAGAATTGTCATTCCAGCGAGGTCATGTCCTAAACCTTGGTCGAGATGTTTATTTGTTGCCTTCCTGTGTGTGCAGGGATTGTATGCTTAGATTTCAGTTTTATCACATTTTGGACCAGTGTGTTTTGACCCACGTTCAAGGAAGTGTGAAATGGATTTTAGGCTGAATGTTTTTCTCAAATCTAAGTCACGTCTGCCATACAACCAGATAACATGATGACAACCCTCACAGTCATATCAGTACTAATTCTTTACTTGTTGAAAGCTGGTTCGCTAAGCAGATTATGAAGTGTTTGTGTTGAATAAAACATAAACTGTTCAGCATGATCAGCCCATGAATTACAAAAAAAATCAACAACCACTGTTGGTGTCAGACAACTTTGATTTTAAAGGGAGACTCCACTTTGGGGAGCCACTGACACTCTTGATGTTGCAATGAGAGTAAGGAGTTTGGTTTTGCGCCGCTTTTAGCAATATTGCAGCAATATCATGGTGGGGAACACCAGAAATGGGCTTCACACATTGTACCCATGTGGAGAATCAAACCCGGGTCTACAGTGTGATGAGCAGACGCTTTATAACCACTAGGCTACCCCACCACCCCTGTTGCAATAAGAGCCTTGTGTAGTATTTAGTTTTTTTCTAATCTATGTTTAGGTGTTTTGATTTTTTTATCTAATGTCGGAATGATATACATACAACATTGTGAGTTATGCTGTAAAAAAAAAAAAAGACATGATGCGAAATGACACAGTTTATAAAAATAGTCCACCAACAGCAAGACATTGACAATGTTTGTAAACTGTCAGAAAACTCTTTCTGTCACTGGTATTAACTTAAATGTCATTTTCCCTTAAGTCAGTAGACTGATAACCAAACTGCACTCATCTGTGAGTAAGACATTGACAATGTTTGTAACCAGGCAGAAAACTCTAGTTGTTGCTTGTATTAACGTAAATGTCATTTTTCCTGTGATTCCTTGAGCATACAGTAGACTGTTGTCTACATTGCACTCAAAAAAACCATGAGGCTTGTTAATATTTAACACATTCAACCACCTCCATAGGCGGATCCAGAAATTTTCAAAGAGGAGGGGTTCAGGGGGTTCGAACCCTTGGCTCTGCCATTGCAAAACATTAACTTCAATGTGGTCTTTAGGCATTTTCAAGGGTGTGTGTGTGAGTGCGTGCGTGCATGTGTGTGTGTTTCGAACCCCCTGAACCCCCTCTGGATCCGCCACTGACCTCCCTCCTCCAATCTCCACAGACACAAGAGGCACTGTGGGTCATGTTCAGCTTTCAGTTCAGTTTTGGGAAAGGAGGATCAAGTCAGCTGCCTGTGGTAAAATGTCCATAACAACCTTTCCAGGTGAGGGGTGGTGGGGTAGCCCAGTGGTTAAAGTGTCTGCTCATCATGCTGAAGATCTAGGTTCGATTCCCCACATGGGTGCAATGTGTGAAGCCCATTTCTGGTGTCCTCCGCCATGATGTCTTCGGCCGTGATATTGCTGGAATATTGCTAAAAGCGGTGTAAAACTCACTTTCCAGGTGATGGCTTCGTCTTTGCAATCTTGGTTGATAGTGATGTCAAATGCTTCCACTCATTCTTGCTTAATGGAATCAGGTTGGAAGTGATGAGCCCAGGTTTCATTCATACCAGGAATTGCCATATTTAGGCCCACGCGAAATTTAGCCCATGGGCTTAACTTTGGATTTAATTCTTGGGTGTTTAGAGTGACGCCCCTTTCCAAACGCACGGTGAACCTCGAGGTTATCACATTAACAGAACATTTTGGACACCGGTTACAGGGCAGTTATTAGTGACAGAAATTGATCATCTTAACCCCTATGATGTGCATGCAGTTGCAGTCAACTTGAACCATGTGGTCATTCAATTTTGAATTTATAGTCCAGTTTCATGATAAAAGAGTTTTAAGAAAACCCTATTCTTTTCATTTTATCAACATATTGCGCATTTTCGAATTTAAGACCAAGGCTTAAATATGGTTACAATATTTCATCACTAGAACAGTGATTTTCCGTATTTAAGCACAGTGCTTAAATACAGGAATTCCTGGTAGCAACTAATTGGTGCAAAAGCCTTACAGCCTCAGAGAGTCAGGGAGGTGGGTTTCATGCTGCCTTTAGTAATATGCCAGCAATATCACACCAGAAATGGGCCTCACACATTGTACCCACATGGGGAATCAAACACGGGTCTTCAGCATGATCACAGGCTTTAACCGCTAGGCTACTCCACTGACCCCTCAAACTGAGGTAGATTATCACAACACATGGTGTGTTTTGTATCACAAGTTTTGTAACCCAAAATGCTGATACCTTCTTTATTGCTAAACTTGCTGTGATAATGGAAGGTATTTACTCCTAGAAAATGCGAACCAAACAATATGATGCTCATGCTCAGTCCTTAACCAGTTGCTCATCGCCAGATCATGAACTCTGGTAAAGGAAACATGGTGACGTAAGGCACATGTGTATGTTGTATTTATCACACAGGGTCTTTAAAAGTTATGGGGAGATGGGGTAGTGGTTACAGCATTCACTTGTCACACAGAAGATCCGGGTTTGATTCCCAAAATGGGTACAATGTGTGAAGCCCATTTTTGGTTCCCCTGCCGTGATATTGCTGGAATATTGTTAAAATGGTTGTTAAAACATAACTCACTCACTTTAAAAGTTGAATATTAATTGATATGACTATAAATTATCCTTTTTAATATATTTTTCTGTTTCTATAAAAGAAAGAGGATTTCCTTCATGTATTTCCTTTTCAGTTCACTAATCTGATTTGAATGATGACGGCAGCATTTACAATACCTAAAAGTTGAATATATTTCAGTATCGTGAAAACAAATTTTAACAAGAACTATCAGCAATATAATAATATTAAGTGATATGACTCTATAAATTATCCTTTAAAATATATTTTTTCTGTTTCTATAAAAAGAAAGAGGATTTCCTCCATTTATTTCCTTTTCAGATTTGAATGATGACAAACAACATTTACAACACCTTACCCATCTGTCCGTAACTATGGTAATGGTTACAACATTATATAAATGTAAAATTACCCATGGTATTATTTGTCAGAATAATTTCAGACTGTTTCAATGCTATATCTGTAATTGTGTATGATAGTTCTCAGGATGACAGTATCTAGATAAGCAGCGTCTATATATAGTGGTTATCTTGTACTGCCTGGAGGTAGATCTATATACATGTACGTAGCAGAAAGTTGAAAACACCATGTTTACTGGACAAAAGCAGGGGTGTCGTCTTAAACTGTGACAATCCAGGCTGCCTACATCTGAAGAGCTATTTTGACAAACTTTCATTGTGTATGTTATTTTTATAGTATGACTGATATCACTCATAAAGGTGATCAGCTGGATAGAAAAGTCTCTGGAGATTATTCTTCCGAAATTGGAACAATGATGGAATTATTGTAATCAGTTTTAGAGCTTATGTGAAATTTGTGGAACAGTGTCTTAGAGATACAGTCTTAAAGGTAGATTAGCGAATGTAAGACATATTGAACATTTAAGTATCAGTCAAATAGAACTTTTGTCCTCAACAAGATGGTTAAGTGGCCATTCCATCCATTAAGAACAATTTTCAAGCCCAGTGAAGGGTCAGTTTTGGGCCACCGTTCTTTTAGTGATTGGTTGGTTTGGGCCACCGTTTTGCCAGTGTTGGGTCAGTTTTAGGCCATTGTTTGGGCAGTAATGGGTCAGTTTTAGGCCTTCATTTGGTCAGTTTTAGGCAATCATTTGGTCAGTAATGGGTCAGTTTAAGGCCATCATTTGGCCAATGATGGGTCAGTTTTAGGCAATTGCCTAGTCTTTTGAAACAACTTATCACAGATGAAATCACAACCCTTTCTCAGTACTTAAAGGTTGCAATCAGGCAACCTTTTACAAACACCTTGAGTGTTGGTCTAACAAGTGCACTTCACTGTTTACTTATTGATTTGTTTGTTGTTTGAGATAAATTCTGTCCTGATGTACTGTTGACGTGTACAGGAAGGAAACACAATATGGCCTATACTACTCCATAATTTATAAGGATGTTTTATCTCAATGATCCTCAAAACTGATTCTCATAAAATCAAATGTGCGGTAAATAGAATGACATATGTCTCATTATTCAAATTAAAAGTAAGTCATACATAAAGGTCACATGTAACTTTATGACTTCCAGCCTTTTAGTATGACTTGATGACTATCTTTAAAGTAAGGTGATCACTTTGATGGGTTGATTTTCAAATACATAGTTATAAATTGATATTCAGGGTGATGTTTAATAGTGATAAATAGACCTCCAAACCATCATGATGACCTCTTTGTTTGCCTCAGCTCAACAAATTTCCAGCTACATGACAGTGGTCTGTAAATAGTGGGTCTGGACAGACAATCCAGTGATTAAAATCATGAGCATTAAATTGGGATATGATAACAAGCATCAGTCAGGACTATAAACATGCCGTGCAATCCCATTAGCATGGTGTGTTGAAGATCAATATTAACCTGGATCTTCAAGTGTGGGTGACTTCATAAAAATGTGGATATTGTAATTTGCGAGTCCAAAATGACCCTTTGAAAAACTACAAAGCCCGAAGGTCACCCTGACTTCCCTAAAGGTCAGTCTTTAATTTCCCGGCAGGTGGTTCCCGTTTCTTGCTGCGGTATCATGCTGTCTTCAATATACCAGGTAGACAAGGTGACGTCTGATGCACACCGACAATGTTCCTGCAATATAATCAACAGAAACCTGAAACATGCCGACAGTTGCACTCACAGTCTTAAACTGTGACAATCCAGGCTGCCTACATCTGAAGAGCTATTTTGACAAACTTTCATTGTGTATGTTATTTTTATAGTATGACTGATATCACTCATAAAGGTGATCAGCTGGATAGAAAAGTCTCTGGAGATTATTCTTCCGAAATTGGAACAATGATGGAATTATTGTAATCAGTTTTAGAGCTTATGTGAAATTTGTGGAACAGTGTCTTAGAGATACAGTCTTAAAGGTAGATTAGCGAATGTAAGACATATTGAACATTTAAGTATCAGTCAAATAGAACTTTTGTCCTCAACAAGATGGTTAAGTGGCCATTCCATCCATTAAGAACAATTTTCAAGCCCAGTGAAGGGTCAGTTTTGGGCCACCGTTCTTTTAGTGATTGGTTGGTTTGGGCCACCGTTTTGCCAGTGTTGGGTCAGTTTTAGGCCATTGTTTGGGCAGTAATGGGTCAGTTTTAGGCCTTCATTTGGTCAGTTTTAGGCAATCATTTGGTCAGTAATGGGTCAGTTTAAGGCCATCATTTGGCCAATGATGGGTCAGTTTTAGGCAATTGCCTAGTCTTTTGAAACAACTTATCACAGATGAAATCACAACCCTTTCTCAGTACTTAAAGGTTGCAATCAGGCAACCTTTTACAAACACCTTGAGTGTTGGTCTAACAAGTGCACTTCACTGTTTACTTATTGATTTGTTTGTTGTTTGAGATAAATTCTGTCCTGATGTACTGTTGACGTGTACAGGAAGGAAACACAATATGGCCTATACTACTCCATAATTTATAAGGATGTTTTATCTCAATGATCCTCAAAACTGATTCTCATAAAATCAAATGTGCGGTAAATAGAATGACATATGTCTCATTATTCAAATTAAAAGTAAGTCATACATAAAGGTCACATGTAACTTTATGACTTCCAGCCTTTTAGCCTTTTTATGACTTGATGACTATCTTTAAAGTAAGGTGATCACTTTGATGGGTTGATTTTCAAATACATAGTTATAAATTGATATTCAGGGTGATGTTTAATAGTGATAAATAGACCTCCAAACCATCATGATGACCTCTTTGTTTGCTTCAGCTCAACAAATTTCCAGCTACATGACAGTGGTCTGTAAATAGTGGGTCTGGACAGACAATCCAGTGATTAAAATCATGAGCATTAAATTGGGATATGATAACAAGCATCAGTCAGGACTATAAACATGCCGTGCAATCCCATTAGCATGGTGTGTTAAAGATGAACAATATTAACCTGGATCTCCAAGTGTGGGTGACTTCATAAAAATGTGGATATTGTAATTTGCGAGTCCAAAATGACCCTTTGAAAAACTACAAAGCCCGAAGGTCACCCTGACTTCCCTAAAGGTCAGTCTTTAATTTCCTGGCAGGTGGTTCCCGTTTCTTGCTGCGGTATCATGCTGTCTTCAATATACCAGGTAGACAAGGTGACGTCTGATGCACACCGACAATGTTCCTGCAATATAATCAACAGAAACCTGAAACATGCCGACAGTTGCACTCACAAGCTTCTCCGCGAGGAGATTAAACAGTTGTCAGCACAGAGCAATGCACACTGTTGCAGACTACATTACACATTGTATTTCAGGTAACATCAGAACATGCCTGTCTTCATATACTCTCATTTCCATGACACCTTAATAGCCCTCTGCTGTCGTACCTCATTATAAGGCGTACTCTCGAAACACATTCTTTGGCTGTATTTAATGTTATTATTTGTGTCTTTATATTCAGTGCATAAACAGATGATATGTGTTTTGTGTGCGTTTTTGAGATGATATTGTTCAAAGATACTTATGATTGCTGTGTTTGTTATAAAGGGGTTTTACTATTTATAGTTCTCTGCGTAAAGAAGCCCAGCCATCTACATGCAAAGAATGTTATACTTTTCATCCAGTTTATGTCAATTAATACATACCTACATAGATGTCTGAGGTAAAGGCATTGGGCAGTAAATTGTTTCATATAGTAACTTGTAATTTTTACCTGAACAAAAGTTTTAAAAAATGAGTTACAATATATCT